AATTGATTAGAAGATAAGAGCAAATACTTTTAATTCTGCAATGCGTAAAGTATTATAATCCGACATAACATGGTTCTTAATTAATCAATTAAATAAGAACCAAGACCAAACCCAAAGAAAAAAAACATATAAGAACCGTACCTTCTCATCAATATAGGCTCCCCAAAAGCGGGAAATGGCAAGATCATAGGGATCAGAAGGAAGTATGGAGGGACCGGAGGCCCATACCTCGTCGATGTACTGGACGATGATAAGGGACTCTCACATATGGGTTTGTTGTCATGAATTAAAACTGGAATTTTCTTGTGAACAGGGTTGGATCTCAGGAGGAGCTCACTCTTGGACCCAAATTTCTCCTCAAGGAACTCGTAGTTGACACGCTTGATGTTGAGAGCGATTTGAACCCGGCTCACGAACGGACTAGTCATCGAACCGATTAGCTTTACATCCGTACTGGTCGCCATGATCAACTGTAATTCTGAAGCTGCAGAGGCTGCTTATATTTGCTTAACAAAATTGGGGGGATATGAATTGTGGGGATACAAATAAAGCTAGAATTCTTGGCATGTATTGGTGTGAACTGTGAAATGACGTAAAAGATGATGTAAGAATTCATAGCATGTATTAGTGTGAACTGTGAAATGACGTAAGAGATGATGTAAGAATTCTTGGCATGTATTAGTGTGAAATGATGTAGAAGTCTAGGTGGATGAGGGGCTTTTTATTTTTATTATTAATTTTTTAACAGATTCACTTGACATGTGAAAAATAAGGAAAAAAAACAGGAAAAGAAAAAAACAGGACACTTGACAAGATTCCTAAGGGACCACACCAGAGAGGACAAAGTAGTGGGCCTAATTCACATTGACTTCTTTGAGGGTCGGTCTATTTTTCTAGTTATGCATAATTGATTATCTTAGTAAAAAAGATACAAAGAAGAAAAAGGAAAACACTGCATGTGGTGTGAGTTGAAAGAATTTAGCTAAAAATATATACTATATGTTTATGCTGGGACAGGTTGAGATCCAATGAAAACAAGTGTTCGTTGTTTCATATTAGTTGTTTATTTTTTAAAATTTTCTTGTGAACAGGGTTGGATCTCAGGAGGAGCTCACTCTTGGACCCAAATTTCTCCTCAAGGAACTTGTAGTTGACACGCTTGATGTTGAGAGCGATTCGAACCCGGCTCACGAACGGACTAGTCAGCGAACCGATTAGCTTTACATCGCTCGCTGCCATGATCTACTGTTCTCAAGCTAAAGAGGGTTATATTTGCTTAGCACATGTGAGTGGATATGAATTGAGGGACATAATTTAAGTTAGAATTCTTGGCATGTTTTGGTGTGAAACGATGCAAGAAATGATGTAAGAACTCTTGGCATTTATTGGAGTGAAATGTTTTTGAAGTCTTTTTTAACTCAACAATAACCACTTGACAAGAAGAGCGGACAAGCCGCGGAGATTCCCAAGGGCCGTACGAGAGAGGACATTGACTTACTTGTGATTCCTTCTGGACACTCAACCTTTGATAATTTAACCATAAAGATTGAAAGAAAAAGAAACTACATATGGTGTGAATAAAAATAAGGCTGTAAAAGAACTAAGCTTTCGATAAACAGCTAGACTTGGTTCACTGAGAGCTCGATTTAGTACTTTTGTTCAATGAATGAACCAAAGTCGAACAAAATTTTTGTTCAATGGATGAACCAAAGTCGAACAAAATTTTCAAACTCCATTAATAAACGGGCCAAACTCAAACCACTCAAACAACCCCTGCTTGACTTATTAATTCACAAACGCGTTTGTGAACAACCTTCATAATCTACTCGTTTTGTGTTCGGAGTAATAAATAATAAGTTTAGGCCTAAAATTAATCTAGATAGAGCATAAACAACCCATGCCATTACTCTTAAATTTAAAATAGCGCAAGTCTACTATCCTCTCCCCGGCCCAACTCTCATATAATAATATACAAGTTTATAAGCTACCAAACTCTAATCTTTTCAACCTACCAAACTCTAATCTTTTCAACCTAGGTTCTTTCCACGTTTGCCGTCCCAAATTGAAGTCCCTCCACCTCTCTAGCTACAGTCCTCTCTCTTGTAAATATTATCTTGCCCAAGTGAGAGATGAAAGCATTTTGGTTATAACGATCCCATGGAGATTCAGTGCATCACCGATTGAGGGACGATAAATTACAATAGTGTAATACTCCTGATTTTAAAAGGATAGTCTCGGTATTTTTTAAAAATTATTTTAATTGCATTTAATTATTTAGTTGATTTCGTGGCTAATTGTTTACTTGTTTAATTGATTTAATTATTTGTTAAATGTGTTAATTGATTTAATTGTTTAAATAAAATTGTGTGTGATGATGTGTATTTATTTAGGAATTTAATTATTTTATTTTATTTTTATTTTCATATTTTTAAGGAATTGGATATGGATAGTAGTAATGGACCAACTAATTGGGCTCTATGGACTACTTAGATAAGGGGTTTAATAGGTACGGATAATTACCCATGTATATGTATATTTAATAAATAAATAAATAAATAAATATATATATATATATATATATATATATATATATATATATATATATATATATATATATATAAGGAAAGTCATATATATTTATATATTACATATAAAAAGGATTACACATAGATTATACGTACCATATATTTTAGTTACCTTTTTAGTATTTAGATTTTATTTATTATTAGTTGGGATTGGATAGAGAAAATGATTAGGGTTATTTTAGTTGTCTATAAATATATAACTCTAGGGTTGAAAAAGGGGTTAGAAAATAAATTACGTAATTTATTTTAGAGAGAGAAAGAAGGAAGACGAAGTAAGAGGAAAAGGAAGAAGGAGGTTAGGGTTTTTTTATCAAATCCCTAAAGGTAAGTTTTAATTCTTCTCTCCTCCTTTGATTCATACCCTATACATGCTAGATTAACTCTAAGTTCTTTAAATAAATTAATCGGATTAAATTTCATGACTTAATTTGGAAGTTACAGTTTATGGGTTTTATTAATGAATTTGTGATGAATTTAATATCTTTACCGAACTGGGCATTGTTTGGTGGTATTTGTATTATTAGTTTTTTTTAAACATGAATTTTTGTATGAATCAGTTTATTTCATCTATGGTGAAATCAGATTTTTGATTCTTTCGTAAACTTTACACGCCGAACGAGGAAGGAAACAAAAACAATGGTCTAAAAGAAAGAATCAGATTGTTACAACATTAGAATTCGTTTTCCTTTATAAACCAGGCCCGCCGAACGAGGAGAAAAGAATATAAAGGCAAAGGCTTAAAGCAATGATGCATCTGTTTACTTTCTAATTTAAATTTCATTCTCTTTTAATGATGCATTAGTGCGTTTTCTAATTTAAATTTCTTCCTCTTTTAATGTTGCATCAGTGTGCTTTGTAAATTTAAGTTTCATTTTTTTTTTTTTTATTTAATGCGTCAGTTTGTTGTGTAATTAAAAATTTCGTCCTCTTTCGTTAATGCATTAGTTTGTTAATTTTAATTGAAATTTCATTTGTTGGTTAGGGGATTAGGAATGAGTCTGATATATAAAAATTTAAATAAATTCATTAAGAATTAGGCTGCATGATTTAAATTTACATGCTAAGTATGGAATTTAATTAATTTTAAAACATAAATTAATTAAATATTTTTGGATTAAAATTAATTGTTTATATTTAATTAATTTAATCAGAATATGGAGATGTACAATTTAGTTGAGATGCATGTTAATTTCTTTTGCTGTAAATTAAGTGCATGCTACTTAGAATTGATATTTTTGCTCAAGTAAATGCAAAGGATGTGTATATGATTTATATCATTTTTATTTGAATTATTATATGTAAATATTATTTACATTATCTTTGGATTGGAAACTTTTATTTGGTTATAGTATGGATTAATGCACCATTATGGGATGGGGGCATATTAGGGACGGATTAACTTAAGAGTTAAGTCCTATCTATTTTTAATAAGGGAACGGATTAACCATATTGTTAAGTCCTACTTATTCGTGTCAGGTCAATGGAATAGTTGGATGACATATTATTAAAAGCATATTTGGATATTTTTATTTTAATGGTTGGATAGAACGGATTTTACATATATAATTATACGCCATGATATGAGCTTGAGTCTCAGGATCAGTGGTTAGGGTGCATATATTGTCAGGGATGTGTAGCTAGATATAATGTAGTTGTGTACCCTGGTAGGTCTAGGTACTCATGTCCACTATATGTGCGTTTTGTATGTTGCCTACTATTCAGGTTGAGACAACTCTATAGTCTAGTGAGGTTCCTTTAATGTGTATATATCTATATATGGACTGTTTAGTTATTGTTGGGTTAATTAGGATGTGTACGTGTATCGGGTCTCTGTTTGGGATGTAGTAGATTAGAACTTGTATGTGGGCCTGACCCACCATTATTTTTCAGGTGTTCGTCAGTTCCAGTCTTAGAGATTGTTCGGGCCGGGCAGAGACAGTCATTCACTCTTCCGACTCTACGTAAGACTCTTCCTCATGGTTTAATTATTAGTTTTTCAGTTCAGTTATTTCAGTTAGGTTATTATTAGGGGTCCACAATATGGATTCCCGAGTTGTAATTTTAATTAATTATTGGTACCAGAGGATTGGAGGATTTCATTATAGGATTTTTAGTTATTTTTATTTGAGGATTAATTATTTAGTTTTCTTTTCAGCGTCTTTATTGATTCTTAATTCATCTTGTATTCTAATACTTGTTTAAATATTAATTGTTTGATATCACTTGTATTCTGTGCTCGGTCTTGATCACCCGTGGCTCTAGAATCTAGGGGTATCACAAATAGCCTCGTGATGGAATGACGATCGCCACTGATTGCCTCCTTGTATATATAAATATATGCATACATGTATGAATTATAAATAGATAGTAATATATAAATTTCTTTGCAGATCTGTGAATATACACTGGTATGGAACTCGAGCCGAGCTCGAACACTTCTCACATTTGTCGAGTTGAGCTCAAACATTCCATAGCTCTGCTCGACTCGACTTGATTACCTCCTCAAGTAGAAAGAGTTTAGCTTAAAACAACTACATGCTCATGTTGGGACAGTGGAAGCACTAGAACATTGAGTTCAATGAAAGCAATAAACCTATCGAATCCACTTCGGATATGACTCAGCGGTTTACTTGCTGGATTTTGGAGCTTAGTAAGCCCAAGGTTTAGGGTTTGAGTCCCGCTAGGTGTTCTTTGTGGCTAACCTCCGTTACCCCTGCAGTGACTTACCTGATCCAGGTGGGGAGGTGCCCTTTTGGGTTTTTGGGGATTAGTCGGGTTGTTGAGGAGTCCTAAGGGTTCGTGCCATCCTGAACACCCCGAGTTAATTAAAAATAAAAATAAACCTATCGAACATAAGCACAAGATTTACGTGGCTTGATATAAACCGGTCTATATCAGTTGGAGAAGAGATTCCACTGTATAAATGTAGAGATATTAGAACACTAGAGAACCCAAGGGGTTGGCTCTAGTAGTAAGTCACTCCGGCAGTTGTCTCGTGAACCCCCTTGATGGCAAATAATTCTTTGGTGCCACACTTGCGTGTGAAAACCTGAGCTCTATCTAAACCGTGTGGAGGGGGCACTTTGCACGGTATCCCACAGATAGTTAGCGTAAAGTCCCGGATATCCTGGTTAGCAGGAAAAAGAAATTATAACATAGAGAATAACATGAGAATTCATATTTAATGAATGACTAATAAATAAGATAGTTTACTAAAATCCAAAACAACAGCTGAATTCCATAACTAATAAATTTCATTCTAAAAAATGAGTAAAATAATATAGGAGACATATTCGCTTTTAATTTTAACTCGGTAGGTAAATAATTATTTTATTTTATTTTATTTTTTTATAGTCAAGTATCACATCTACCCTTTCACAAACACTCCAAATAGGCCTTGGAACTCTGTTCTATGTCAGTAAAAAAATCTTTAAACTAAAGAAAACCATGTAGAAAGCTATAAGGGGCAGAACCTTGTGAAACGAAGTATGATAATTGAAGGCAAAAGATATATAATTTCACATTTAAAGAAAACCAAAAAGAACATACGCTTATGCAAGGCAGGCCAGCTTGACACTCCACCACAAGCAGCAAAATTCCATTTCACACAAAAGCAGAAGGAAGTTGTAGGTACTAGAATTCCCTATGAATACACTAGCCGGTTTTTGATAGAACATAACAGACCTATGAATATTGCAGCCCAATTATTAAGTGATTGGAAAATCGACATTGTTGATCAATTGGGAGTAGGACCAACTTTAGCCATGGCTTGACGCATCTTGAAAAACTCAATAAGCTTCTCAGTCTCTAGAATAACACCCTTCACAGCATCATCTGAGCTGAACCTCTCAGCCCATCCCACCAGTCCAGGCGTCTTGGCTTCGTCAAGCAATGCCACGCCGCCTATTTTCTCCGCCACCCTTAGCCCCCCCAAGAAGGACCCGAACGCTATATCAAGGTACCCAATACTATCCCCACCAAAGAAAGCCTTCCCTTTGCTACACTTGACAAATGCTTCCTCCAACAGCGCCAATCCTTCAACAAGTCGCTCCACTGCTGCTGCCTTCGCCTCCTCTCCTTGTGGCGTCCGAAGCTCCCTCAGTGATGGAGACCACTGCAACCATATGAGAATATACAAGAAGAGTTCAGTATTCTTGATACACCACCATAAATCTGTAACTATACAACTATTTGTATAGTTTTCTGTTTTTCAATTATCTAAATAGAGAAATTTATTTTTACTTGAGTGATTGGATTGTTCCAGAGTCCGTATTTGAGTCTTGCACCTTTCCATTCCCTCTAGCAACTACTAACTCCTACTAATATTCTTACCCGGACAAAAAGAAAGAAAGAAAAAAAAAAAAATCAAATAAGTACCATACCTTCTCGTCAATATAGGCTCCCCAAAAGCGGGAAATGGCAAGATCATAGGGATCAGAAGGAAGTATGGAGGGACCGGAGGCCCATACCTCGTCGATGTACTGGACAATGATAAGGGACTCACATATGGGCTTGTTGTCATGGATTAAAACTGGAATTTTCTTGTGAACAGGGTTGGATACCAGGAGGAGCTCACTCTTGGACCCAAATTTCTCCTCAAGGAACTCGTAGTCGACACACTTGATGTTGAGAGCGATTCGAACCCGGTTCACGTATGAACTAGGCCGTGATCCGAGTAGCTTTACATCCGTACTGGTCGCCATGATCGACTGTAATTCTGAAGCTGCAGAGGCTGCTTATATTTGCTTAACACAATTGGGTGGATATGAATTGTGGGATATAAATAAAGCTAGAATTCTTGGCATGTATTGGTGTGAACTGTGGAATGATGTAAGAGATGATGTAAGAACTCTTGGCATGTATTAGTGTGAAATGATGTAGAAGTCTAGGTGGATGAGGGGCTTTTTATTTTTATTATTAATTTTTTAACAGATTCACTTGACATGTGAAAAATAAGGAAAAAAATACAGGCAAAAGGAAAAAAAGGACACTTGACAAGAAGAGCAGACAAGCCGCTGAGATTCCTAAGGACCACACCAGAGAGGACAAAGTAGTGGGCCTAATTCACATTGACTTCTTTGAGGGTCGGTCTATTTTTCTAGTTATTCATAATTGATTATCTTAGTAAAAAAGATACAAAGAAGAAAAAGAAAAACACTGCATGTGGTGTGAGTTGAAAGAATTTAGCTTAAAATATATACTATATGTTTATGCTGGGACAGGTTGAGATCCAATGAAAAAAGTGTTCATGTTTCATATTAGTTGTTCATTTTTTAAAATTTTGATTCATTATTATATTTTTTGTTTTAGTTAATTTGAAATTATTTTAAGTAATATTTTTTAATATACTTATATATTATCTATATTTTATATTAGATGCCTATTTCAATAATTTTGACTTATAAAAATTATAAGTCAAAATTTTTGAAGTAGACAACTAATAAGAAATGGAGATAGTAAAACAATCCGGTACAAATACAAAATTTATGTGGTTAGACATAACTCAGCCCATATGGTCACAAATGAAAATCTAATGAAAACAATAAAACAATCAGATACAAATACAAAATTTACATGGTTTAGCAATTTAGAATTTTTTTAATTAAGCACCATTAAGAAAAAGAAAAAAAAAAAAAGGGGACCGTCCAGGGCTCTGTCTCATAATCTTGTAAAGCGCCCCCATGCGGATTGGGTAGAGCTCAGACCATGTCTGCGTGCTAGATCACTAAAAAATATTTACACCTAAAAAGAATCGATGCTGAGACTAAGTACTTTTGTTAGCACAATTTGGAATTGGCTATTTTCATTACTGCAATGGAGCATGCCGGATGTTCATTGTGTTGCAACTGCTGCATTGGTTCACTGATATCAAGGATGCTTCTAAAATTCATATCAGACTACTCTCCATTACAGTGTAACACCTATGGAGTGAGGAATAGAATAATGCACTCTGATCAAACTAGATCAGTTCTGGAGGTTGCTAGACTTATTTGGTGGGAAATTTGGACCCTAGAGCATCTCCAGTACCCTCTTAAAGGGTCTCTCAAAATCAAAATATGGTAGGTGGATGAAAAATAATGCATTCCAATGTGCTCTCAAAAGGCAATCTCATATTTTGAGATTGCCAAAAGTATTGTCGTTTATAGCAACTCTAAAATATTTTTGAGAGATTTTTTTATTTTATTTTATTTTTATTTTTATTTTTATTTTTCATATGGTGCCGTTTCTCAAAATATAGCAGGTGGATGAAAATAATAGCTCAAATAGGATTTTCGATAAAGTGCATTATTGGAACAGAATTACTAAAGTATAGCATTTTGACACTATATCTTCTCTCAAAATACAACTTTAACATGAAAAAATAACATTTTGCATTGGAGATACTCTTACAAATCTAAAATTGAGTGCTATGTCTTGTTGATGCTCATAATTTGTATTCTACTCTTGCAACCTGCTTCTTTACCGTGTTTCTTAATTCTTCTTATGAGGCATGCTCTATTTTTATTTCTATTGTGCTTCTGGTGAGCTGATATGCAAAGGTATGCCTTTGCTTCATTAGCTGTACTATATTGCTTATATCAATAATCTGTTTTTTCACTACGCCTCAGTGCATTAGTCAAGAAAAAATGGCGGTTATCGAAAAAAAATAATAACAATAAAAAACAAAATAATTTCAGAATCTCACAGCATTGCACGTACACCTAAAGTGTTAAGGCCAGGGATGAAGATTGAAGCAAAAGCATCCATGGTATTCTTAGGGAAGGACACACCAATCTCCAAATCTCCTTGGGAATCCATGCATTCATTAATGGATATTGCCCCTGTAAGATCAATGGAAACGACTTCAATCTTTTGCGGTCTCCCCCACCCAAAATCTGGCTCATAAATGCTAATCTTAGTCGACCCCGCAAGCCCAACCATCTTATCCTGGTCCATTCTTTTATAATCAGAAAGCCAAGACTCCATACCTTTCAACACTCCACCACTACCGTGCAGCCTTTCTCCAACGGCCTTCCCGATCGATTCAGCGGCGATCACAAACCCTTCTTCCCCAATTAGTTGGCTATGCTTTGCCCTCGCGTAACAACCCATTAAGCAATTACCAAAGTATGTTTTGGGAATGGGTGGATCCAAACGTTCTCGACAATCTACAAGAACACTAAAGTACTCATCATCATCATCTTTGTCCACCGCCCTAGTAGTGGCGGTTCCTGTACGTGATTTTACCTTGCAAATCCAAATGTAGGCACATGTCACAGTGAATGCTGAGATGTGAAATGGTGGTGCTAGTGTTGTCGCGGAGTTCAGTCGTCGATGATGGACCAAAACCAATTCCTTGAGTCGTTGGATGTTGGTTTTGGCCATCACAAATGTTGCCCTGAACTTGTTGATGGGAGGGTGGTGTTGATCAGTTGGACACAACTCTTCATGTTTACTATCCTCAACAATTTGGCGCCAAAATATTGTCCCTATCCCATTTGGATCTCTCACCACACTCCTGTCACATAATGATAGGGAACCAATAGTCTCCAACAATTTCGCATCGCTGCCGCCAAATTTAGCAATGGAAGCCCAAGACTTGAAGAAGCTTATAAAGGCCACACCGTCCGCGGTGATATGGTTAAGGGTATAGCCAAAACAAACCCCCGAGTTTGGAAAAAGAGTCACCTGAAGAGCAAACAGTGGGACTAGTAGTGTAGAATGAATGCTTTCGGACACATTGGTACACAACTTATTAGCTGGCATTTGAGGGACTAGAGGATAAAATTGATCAGCATTTTTTTCATGGTTTCCGATGAGAGAGTTGAAATCGTTACTAGACTCGGCGAAGGTGAGTGAAACTGAGTCACCCTCGGTGTAACGAATTTCAGGCTTGCTAGAAATTGATGAGGGAATATTAATAAACATGTTAGAAGCTAGAGGGAAAAAGTGTTTTAGAGCGAGGGAGAGTGAGTGTTTAAGATTAGGAATGACGGTGTCCATGAAATGGGACTTAGGATGGGGGAACTGATAAAAGAAAAGGGTTTGGACGGGAGGCAGTTGCAGCCATGCTAGGTCGAAGAAAGTGATGGGAATAGACTGCTCGGTCACCGTGCCTGGGGGTGGCGAAACTCTGCAATGTTCGATCACCTTCACCATATTAGCCGGAGGAATATTGTGTTGCAAATTACTAGCCAGAAAGAGAAGAGTATATATATATATATATATATATATTTGATGTTTCATTACATCTTATATATCAGCTCTATATATAGAATGATCGACGGTGGTGCCATGTGAATCCCGTTTCAATGCATTAAGGGGCTTGCAGATGCTTCGGGTAATGATTTCAATATTTTTTCTTTTAATATTAAAGCAGCCAACTTGGCAACTACGGACTAATATATATATATACACGTTATATACCTCTAATATTTTACAATTGACTGCAACATATATATATATATATAGATTCGGATCCCCTGCCGGGGGGAGGGGATCTGTGCACCATCCCATGCACGCATAGGCGCCCAAATGGTAAAGATTCCTTCCGCACAAAAGGCATCTCTTTCGTGTGTGTGTGTGTATATATATATATATATATATTCAAATTAAAGTACAAATAACATCTTCTTGTTCATACTCCATAAAAAATAAATTAATTTTAGGAGTTCCTAAGAGGGTGAGTAGTATGGGGTATTTTCTTCCACTTGAAAAGTCATGGTTTAAATGGGAAGAAATTTGCAATACTTTATGCGTTCCGAATGCTTGGAGATATCCTGATCACATCCCTTTTTGCTATCTCACTGACGAGGTAGCATTCTTGAATTTGTTTGCTATGGCCAACCTTAGCTATTTCGAGAAGAAGGATGCCATATCATTGGATCGTGTAAAGGTACTATTTCTTGCTAATGGAGCAGAGATACATCTTGCAGCTTCCATCTTTGGGTTATTAATGGTTACTCATTACAAGAATAACACAAAGAGGAAATCATCTCCATTCCCTATGATTATCATGGGATTGTACAGGAAGTTTGAGGTTATGTTTCCACCCCGAGCTCATCACATTGAGATTATGTCTGAGTTGGATCTTTGGGCTTTGAATAAGTCTAAATCCGCTAGGGCGAATGCAAGGAAAGTCAATAGGGGTTCAGCTGTTACTTCTTCTCAACTTACAGAGGTCTTTTAGATTTTTTTCATTCAAACAGAACTTCATGACAAATGATGCTAATTTGCTATACTTACTGATTCTTCAGAATCAGAAGGTTATGTTTGATTCTATTTCTGATTTATAGGCGAAGGTTAGATTTCTTAGAGAGTAGATGACTGGTAGTACTTCTAAGGATGTTTACAAACTAGCCCCTCCAGAGCCGTCTTTAGATGTTGAGGTTAAGACAGATGATGATGATACTAATGAGGATGATGAGGATGGCAGTGGTAGTGATGATGGTGATGAGGGTATACCGAGTACTACTGTTCCTTTTGAGGAAGATGTTAATACTTGATTTATTATGTTCATATCATATATGCATCATATTTTTGTTCAGTTTTTACTTTGTCATTATTATTTTTGAAAATTATCTTTTGCTTAATGACATATTATAAACTGTTGACTGTTTCTTTTCTAATTTTTTGTTCTACTCTGATCCTTAATAATTGCTTTGTCAATTTGTTCCAAAAATGAGGAGAAAATAATGAAAAATTGAAAAATTTATTCAGGGGGAGTTTTTAACTTGTTTTATTAAACTTTCACTGTTAGTTTTTGCTTGATCCATGTGCAGAAAATCGATCAGGTAAAATTTTGTCTAAGAGAATAAGAGAATAGAGAAGAAAAATTCTGTATTTTCTTTAACAAAATTGTAATTTACTTTTCTATTTGGGTAGATTGCATAATTGTTTTTTGGGTTTTGTCACGAAATTGCCAAAGAGGGAGATTGTGAAATATAAATTTTATAATTAGCAATATTTGATATCAAAACAAGTCCTAGTCGAGTTGTAATTTCAAGTTACTATATCAAGATCGTTATCGACTGTGAAATTGGAAGGTTGTTCGAAGAAGAAATACTGAGATCATCGAAAAAAGAAAAAAACAACACTTTTAGGAAGTCATTTCCCATTTAGGGCACAATACCTATATGATATGATTTCAAAGTTATAAAATCCAAGTCTTGTTACAATTCTATCAAGTAGGAATCGGTTCCACCATTTGGGAACCGGTTCCACAGATTGGCTATTGGTACTTCTACTGTTTCAGATTATGGTAAGTTTGATTCCTGTTCTGATTTCCTTTCTAGTTGGTTTAGAATATTACTAAAAGTCTTATGCATGCATTTTTCTTTATTTTCTGAAGGATTAGGTCTTTGAAAATTCTATATAGACCCTGATACACATCTAAGTTTATTATGACTTTGGCATTACAACTTCATTATTCATAAAACCTTTAGGAAGATTATTTTTGCTGAAAATATATTCAGGTTGATTTCTTTGTCAGTCTTTCTAGAACATACACATAAACACAAGAGTGAGTTTAATGTGTTGTTCAGATCCTGATCGTAATCAAAGTCTTGCATCTACAACGTTAAGAGAAAAGTAGATCTACTTCTACATCGAATTTAGATATTGAAAAACAGAAGTAAAAATGATCACACTTTGAAAGAGTCAAAGTATTCATGGAGTATTGTTTGTTCTACCTGCAACTCTTGTACAGAGATCAAGCATAAGTTTGATGTCAAGTGTTGTTGGACGGGACGTCGCAAAGCCAGAAGATCGTCAACTATTGGTATTTGGTAGAACGATAAGGTGTAAGGTATAGTCAAAGTTCAGTATACTTTGTTTCATACATAGTGAATCGATTTACTTTGGACTGCACAATACACGAGATTTTTCCCACGTAAACAGTTGATCTAATTTCTCAACTGCGGTTTCCTCGCTAAAATCCTGGTGTCATCTCTAACTCTTACCTTCCTTTATTTTGTTGTGTATGTGATTAATTATTTAATTACTAAAATAAATAAAAATTAAAATGACACAATCTGTTTCTAAAAATACAAAAATTTTTAAATTTCCAAATTTTTTGTATTCTTTTTTCACAACCTACTTCTTTACCATGTTTCTGAATTCTTATTTTGAGGCATCTTCAATTTTATTATTTTTTTTATTTTTTTCATTGTGCTTCTGGTAAGCTGTTATGCAAAGGTATGCCTTTGTTCATGAGTTGTGCTATATTGTTTATATCAATAATATTTTTTCCACGTTTTCCAAGGAAAAACAAATTCTGCATTTTCTTAATTTAGTTTCTTTATGCTTTCTTAACTATTTCTCAGCAACTAAACTAATTAAAATTGAATTATCCAATCCATGGGGACGGCTCAGTAGATAAGTCCAGAAAAAGCCCCGAACATCTGTTATATAAAAATATAATAAAAATAATAATTAGTAAAATAATTACAGATTCTCACAGCATTGCACGTACACCTAAAGTGTTAAGGCCAGGGATGAAGATTGAAGCAAAAGCATCCATAGTATTCTTAGGGAAGGACACACCAATCTCCAGATTTCCTTGGGAATCCATGCATTCATTAATGGATATTGCCTCTGCAAGATCAATGGAAACGACTTCAATCTTTTGCGGTCTCCCCCACCCAAAATCTGGTTCATAAATGTCAATCTTAGGCGACCCCGCAAGCCGAACCATCTTGTCCTGGTCCATTCTTTTATAATCATAAAGCCAAGTCTCCATACCTTTCAACACTCCACCACTACCGTGCAGCCTTTCTCCGACAGCCTTCCCGATCGATTCAGCTGCGATCAGAAACCCTTCTTACCCAATTAGTTGGCTGTACTTTGCCCTCGCGTAACAACCCACTAAGCAATTACCAAAGTATGTTTCGGGAATGGGTGGATCCAAACGTTCTCGACAATCTACAAGAACACCAAAGTACTCATCATCGTCATCGTCCCCCGCCCTAGTAGTGGCGGTTTCTGTACGTGATTTTACCTGGCAAATCCAAATGTAGGCACATGCCACAGTGAATTTTGATATGTGAACTGGTGGTACTAGTGTTGTCGCGGAGTTCAGTCGTCGATGATGGACCAAAACCAATTCTTTGAGTCGTTGGATGTTAGTTTTGGCCATGACAAATGTTGCCCGGAACTTGTTGATGGGAGGGTGGTGTAGATCAGTTGGACACAACTCATCATGTTTACTATCCTCAACAATTTGGCGCCAAAATATTGTACCTATCCCATTTGGGTCTCTCACCACACTCCTGTCACATAATGATAGGGAACCAATGGTCTCTAACAATTTTGCATCGCTGCCGCCAAATTTAGCAATGGAAGCCCATGACTTGAAGAAACTTATAAAGGCCAAACCGTCTGCGGTGATATGGTTAAGGGTATAGCCAAAACAAATCCCCGAGTTTGGAAAAAGAGTCACCTGAAGAGCTAAAAGTGGGACTACTAGTGTAGGGTGAATGCCTTCGAACGCATTCGTACACAACTTATTAGCTGGCATTTGAGGGACTAGAGGATAAAATTGATCAGCATTTTTTTTCATGGTTTCCGATGAGATAGATGAATTCGTTACTAGACTCAGCGAAGGTGAGTGAAACTGAGTCACCCTCAGTATAACGAATTTCGGCGTTGCTAGAAATTGACGAGAGAATATTAATAAACATGTTAGCAGCTAGAGGAAAAAAGTGTTTGAGAGTGAGGGAGAGTGTTTAAGATGAGGAATGAGGGTGTCCATGAAATGGGACTTAGGGTGGGGGAACTGATAAAAGAGAAGGGTTTGGATTGGAGGCGTTTGCAGCCATGCTAGGTCGAAGAAAGTGAGGGGAATAGACTGCTCGGTCACGGTGCCTGGGGGTGGCGAAACTCTGCAATGTTCGATCACTTTCACCATATTAGGCGGAGGAATATTAATTGTGTTCCAAATAACTAGCTAAAAAGAGAAGAGTATATATATATATATATATATTTGATGTTTCATTACGTCTTATTTATCAGTTCTATATATAGAATGATCGAGGGTGGTGCCATTTGAATCCCGTTTCGATGCACTAAGGGGCTTGCGGATGCTTCGGGTAATGACTTCAATATTTTTTCTTTTAATATTAAAGCAGCCAACTTGGCATGCAACTACGGAGTAATAGATA